GTGGTGCCCCTGGGCCTTGACAAGCCTGAGATGCCTGGCTATGACAGGCTCGTGGTGCCCCTGATAGACCAGTGGTGCCCCTGCTAGGCCGCTGGTGCCCCTCACAGGCCTGCGGTGCCCCTGGAAGGACTGTGGTGCCCCTGCCACTAGGGGTGCTCATGGGCCCAACAGGCCCGTTGTGCCCCTGACAGGCCTGTAGTGTCCTTGCTAGGCCTGTGGTGCCCCTGCTTCCTGGCGGGCCTGTGGCGCCCCTACAAGGCCATAGGTGCCCCTGACAGGTTTGTGGTGTCCCTGGAAGGACTTTGGTGCCCCTGACAAGCCTGAAGTGTCAAGGACAGACCCTTTAGACGCCAGTGTCAAGTTCGTCGGACTGACAACGATTTGCTTACCTGATAACGTTCCTGTAAGTACTCACTACTCAGCGTCCACAACATATACATATACACATAGCACATTCATATATACTTGCTTACAATTGGTAAATGTGGTTGTGGCTAAGAGTTAAGATACTGACTAAAAATAAAAAATAAAAATAAAAAACTGAAAATGGGGGCACCACCAAAATGAAGTGGACGAAATCCGTTGAGTTTTTAATTTTGGGTATAGGTAGGGGCACCACTTCGATTCATGACCCTCCCCTTGGAGTTTTCCTGGATCCGCCCCCAGTTGTATTTCACTATGATGCGTTTAAATGTGTGATCTGTTAGCTCGTATAGATATTCTGTTGTCAATTTCATATAAGACGTTTCGGCGCCAATATGATTAAAACCGAGACTTTGATACTTTGCACTGAGGTAAACGACAATGGACCTGACTGGTGTCTGGATTCGTAGATATGGCGTCGGAGATGTGAGGCTGGCTTGGAAGGATGCCTCTGGATGTATGGACGTTAGCCGCGAAGCGACCCAGAAGGCACATTTGTCGGTAGGTCACGAAATGTCACGAGTGTTGGGAAAGGTCACGAAATGTCACGAATGTTAGGAAAGGTCACGAAATGTCACGAATGTTCAGAAAGGTCACGAAATGTCACGATTCATTTGATGTCAGTACGCAGGGATGCTGTGTTATCTGTGGTAGGGCCCCTCACGGCCTGTTATGGTGTATCATTTATTGGTACGTTTAAGCCCTCTTTGTTTGCCCACCCCTTTCGTTTATTTATTGTACGTTTGGTAACGCTTATTTATACGTCTTTTGATTTGTGTATTGTGTTTCGTTCCCAGCAACGACTGTTACTCTCGAGATCGTGTGGGCTATCTACTCAGCTCACTCGGTCCAATAAACGGTCCGTTAAGACATACTGGATTTCAACACGCTGGGTCTGGAGATGCGGCTACAGTTGCGACAAGTGTCGACAACGGCGACGAGCTGCCCACGGCAGAGTAGCGACTTCTGCAGCTACGCGTGAAGGCAGCTCGACCACCCACCGGGAGGACCTCGCAGCACGCTCACACCGGCTGGTGGCTCTGCTGGCCTCGTGAGGCGGCTGGTTTGCTGCTGCTGGCTGGTGCTGGTGAGGACTGAGTCGCCCCTGCTCATCAGTGAGTGCTCTACTTCTGCTGATATTTGGGGTAAGCGGGCTGTATGGTACTTGCAGTGGCGCAGTGACATTCTGATAAACGGTTCACAAAAACAGTGACTCTGGAGGCAAACTGGTGATCAAATGTGAACTATCTTGTAAAGTGTGTGCCTTCATGGTAAATGAGTCGAAGAGAACAGTATCTTGAGAAGCGACAGACACTTAGTGCATCAGTGTGTGATCATTTATTGTGCTGTGAGTTATGCTGAGTATGGTTTCCAGTGTTTGTGTTCGCTGATCTACTAAGGGGTTAAGGACAACCTGTTGATTGATAGACATTCCAGGATAGCATTGTTGCTGGTTAGTTCCAGTTTCCAGAAGAGCTTTCTAATTTGATTTGTGGTAGTTGGTTGTGCCCAGGCTCGGTCACGAGATGGATACGCTCGGCAAACTAAGGGTTCATCAGCTGAAGGCTGAGCTGTCGAGAAGAGGGGAAGATAGTAGAGGACCTAAGGCGGTGCTGGTGAATCGTCTGGAAGACATCCTGAAAGGGGAAGGCGTTGATTTGGCAACATTTGTCACAGAGTTTGGTAGATCCGAACAGACTGATCGTGTAGGCGGTGTAGGATTTGATGGTCAGACTGGTGAAGGAGCTCCGCCGCTAGATGTTCCGGAAGAGCTAGACAGAGCGGGTGTCCGTAGTCGGGAAGTCGCTCCAGGCCAGGAGGCTGGTGGGTCGCTCTCTGTTGACCACTTTGATGCGTCTGGTACCAGGCCTGGCACTGGAAGCCCTGCTGAATCGGTGAAGTCATCCCGTTCTTCGTCAACAAGGGCATCAAGCAAGGCCACAGTTGCTTCAGAACGGGCCTTCGAGGCAGCAAGAAGAGCGGGACTGCATGCTAAGGCAGCAGCGTTGAGGAAAAAGCATGAGCTCGAAGACATGCAAGAGCAGTTGAGAAGAAGGAAAGAGGAACTGGAAATTCAAGCTGAACTGGATGAAAGCCTGGCAAGGGAAGGTGTATTGGCTCAGTTTGATAAGGAAGAAACCTTCAAGAGGATTGAGACATTAACGCCACAAGAACAAGAAAGCAGAGCACAAGAACAAGAAGAAAGAAGAACACAAGAACAAGAAGAAAGAACAACACAAGAACAAGAAGAAAGAAGGACACAAGAAGAAGAAGACGAAGAAAGAGCACATGATCAAAGAAGAACGCGTGTTCAAGAAAGAGCACAAGAACCAAGAAGAACACGTGTACAAGAAGAAAGAGCACAAGAACCAAGAAGAACACGTGTACAAGAAGAAAGAGCACAAGATCCAAGAACACGTGTACAAGAAGAAAGAGCACAAGAACCAAGAAGAACACGTGTACAAGAAGAAAGAGCACAAGATCCAAGAACACGTGTACAAGAAGAAAGAGCACAAGATCCAAGAACACGTGTACAAGAAGAAAGAGCACAAGAACCAAGAAGGACACGAGTACAAGAAGAAAGAGCATACGAACAAGGAAGAAAAGCACAAAATCAAGAAAGTGAACGAAGGAGAGCAAGCAGGAATGAGCCTGGAGCTCAGCAGCACGGGGACTCCACACAGGCTCTCCTAGCCCATCTGGAAAGAAGTCAGCTGCCCAAGGCTGAGATACCGATATTCACTGGAGACGTTACGAAGTACAGATCTTTTATACGTGCATTCGACAGTCGGATCTCCTCCAAAACTGATGACGACGAAGAAAAGCTGTACTTTCTCGAGCAATATACAAGTGGTAAGCCACAGGACATAATCAGGGGCTGCCTGCACATGACGACTGGATCGGGCTACCTGGAAGCCAGGAGACTCCTTGATCGGAGGTACGGAGACGAGGACTCAATCACAAGTGCGTTTGTGGATATGCTTGTGGAGTGACCACAAGTAAAACCAGGAGATCTGGAAGGAATGGATCGTTTGTCACTGACGCTGAGGTCTTGTAACAACGTAATGAGTGGAATATCACCCGGAGCAAGGGAGACAGACCACCCAAAGACCATGCGGAAAATCATCGAGAAGCTGCCCTACAACCTGCAGGACCAGTGGCGCCGCCTAGCGGACCATATCCATGAACAGGAGCACAGACGAGCGCGCTTTGAGGATATCGTCGACTTTGTCGAGAGAGAAGTAAGGATCCAGACGAACCCGATGTTTGGTCGTCAGCACAATGTCAGCAGGACAAGAGAACAGGAAGGTCAGCGGAGAAAGGTTCAAACTGTATCGGCAACAGTCATCGAGCCAGGAGCTCAGCAGCGGCGGGGATCGCTCAAGTGTTTGTTCTGTTCAAAGGCACATTACCTCGACCAATGTGAAGAGTTCAGAGGAAGGGCACCTCATGAGAAGAGTGCCTTCATCAGAGAGCAGGGACTTTGCTTTGGATGCCTCTGCAAGGGTCACCTGGTGAGGGAATGTGCGAAAAGGAGAACCTGCTCAATCTGCAGACTCCGTCATCCAACAGCACTGCACAACGACAGACCACCGCCAGAGCACGGTGTTCGAATCGTCTCTGACGGCCATGCAGGTAGTGAAGTGCAGCAGAACCCGAGTCAAGTCGTAACAAATGGCAGAGTGAAGCTGAGGAGCTCTTCCAAGACGTGTGCTGACTCGTCATCTACTATGATGTCTATCGTACCCGTGAAGATGTGGACTGATGGTGGCCAGAAAGTAGAGACGTACGCGTTTCTTGACGGAGGCAGTTCAGCGACGTTCTGCTCGGAGTCTTTGCTGAAGCAGATCGGAGCTGTTGGCGAAAACGTTAAGCTCTCAATGACTACCGCGTCAGTTGACAATCAGCAAGTGGACAGTCGTGTGATAAAGGGAGTCAAGATATCGGATCTGGGTGGAAGTACGTGCATTGCGATGCCTCCGATGTACACTCTCAGCACAATTCCTGTGAAACTAGAAGACATGGCGTCAAGCGAGGATCTAAACCAGTGGGTTCACTTGCAGGGCATTGATTTGGCGCGGATCGATGCTGAAATTGGTCTCCTGATAGGCAGCAACTGTCCTCAGGCGCTCCAGCCGCTAGAGGTAAGACGAAGTGAAGATGGTGGGCCGTTCGCGCTTCGGACTGAGTTAGGATGGATGGTGCAGGGCCCAAGACGCGTTTGTCAGAACGAGAACGACAGAGTAAGAGTGAATCGTATCAGGGTTGTCAATGAGAGCTCCGATCTCCATCGCAGTTTCATGGCTTTGTACAACCAGGATTTCGAAGACCATGGTAGTGCTGTGGACGTCGGTCTGTCTAGAGAGGACCAGCAGTGGCTCAAGAAGGTGGAGACTGGAGTGCGCTTCATCAACGGGCACTACGAGTTACCAGTCCCCCTCAGAGACGAGCAGGTGTTTCCTAACAACAGACAGCAAGCAGAGAAGCGCGCCCAAGGTCTGAAGAAGCGGATGATGCGTGATGAGAAGTATCTGAGGGACTACAGCAGGTTCGTCAGTGAGCTGATTGACAAGGACTACGCGGAAAAGGTGTCCAGAGAGAGTTTGGACGCCTGCTGGGGTAGAACGTGGTATATTCCACACCACGGTGTCTACCACCCAGCGAAACCGGACAAAATCAGAGTAGTTTATGACTGCTCAGCGAGCTACCGAGGTGTGTCTCTCAACGATCGACTGCTTCAGGGGCCCAACTTGACCAGCTCACTTATCGGAGTGCTGCTGCGGTTCCGTCAGGAACCCTTCGCCATCATGGGAGATGTTGAAAAGATGTTCTACCAAGTTCGAGTTGCTGACAGAGACAGAAGTCTGTTACGATTCCTCTGGTGGCCCGACGGGGACTTATCTCGACAGTTGGAAGACTACCAAATGAACGTTCACCTGTTTGGTGCGACGTCGTCGCCATCCTGCGCGAACTTCGCGCTGCGAAGGACGGCTCAGGACTACGGAGGGCTGTATCAACCGGAGGTAGCAAGGTGCATACAGAGGAACTTCTACGTTGACGACTTTCTCAAGTCTGCGTCAACTGAGGACGAAGCAGCAGGGCTCGCGCTGGAAGTTCGTGAGTGCTGTGCCAGAGGAGGTTTCAGGTTAACGGGTTTTGTCAGCAACAGCTCAAGGGTGATGTCATGTCTCCCCGAAACAGATCGTGCTCCGAGTCACAAAATGGACCTCACTAAAGGTGTGCTGTCTCCGCAGAGAGCTCTAGGAGTACAGTGGGATGTCGATCATGACACACTCAGCTTCAGAGTGGAGGTACAGCGTGGTCCAGCCTCGAGGAGAGGAATCTTGTCCACTGTGAGTGCCATGTATGACCCCTTGGGATTTGGAGCTCCATTTTTGTTGCCAGCAAAAGTGTTGCTTCAGGACCTGTGCAGATTACAGCTGGGTTGGGATGATCCAATTCCCTACTCTCATCTCCAGCGGTGGAATCAGTGGTGTGAAGAGCTTGCAGACCTTCGAGATTTTTCCGTTCCGAGAAGCGTCGCCCCACTGCATGGTGAGGCTCGGAGTCGCCAGCTGCACATGTTCGCAGATGCGAGTGAAGTCGGGTATGGAGCGGTTGGGTACGTTCGAGTAGAGGACGCTGCGGGAAGGATTACGACATCCCTACTGATGAGCAAGTGCCGTGTAGCCCCATTGAAGACCTGCTCCATCCCTCGCCTGGAGTTGACGGCTGCCGCTCTGGCAGTACAATTGAGCACTCAAATACTCTCCGAGACAGATCTGCATTTCGATGAGATGTGTTTTTGGACCGATAGAGTCTCAACGCTCCGCTACATACAGAACGTCACATCTCGCTTCCAGACGTTCGTGGCCAACAAATTAGCCGTCATCCATGATGGCTCAAGTCCTAACCAGTGGCGATACGTCCCTTCAGAGCTGAATCCGGCAGACAGCTTATCCCGTGGTCAGTCAGGACCAGCGTTTCTTGCATCTCGCTGGGTTCTTGGCCCAGCGTTCCTCGAGAGCGCCGCCTGTGAATGGCCGGATCAGTCACAAGTCCAACAGCTTCAGGGCAGTACAGAGGAGCTTGAGATCAAGAAAAGCGTAGTCAGCGCCACCACAGCTACAGAAGGTAATGACTACACTGCACAGCTGCTGAACAGCACAAGTGACTGGTTCAAGCTGAAGAAACGTGTCGCATGGGTGCTTCGGTGGAAGCAGCTGCTGCAGAAGAGAGTAGCCGGCAGGAAGGAGTCCGGTACACGTGATGAAGATCTTCTTTCACCTAGGCTGTCCGTACAAGAACTTGAGATGGCAGAAGCTGCGATTCTGAGACATGTTCAAGAACAGGCGTTTCCTGAAGAAATGTCCGGTTCAGTGAGGAAGTCGAGCCGTTTGTTCCGTCTGAATCCTTGTGTGGTTGACGGAACTCTACGAGTCGGAGGACGGCTCGTAAACGCTCAGATTCCAGACGCTGCAAAACAGCTGATTCTTCCCAAGAATGGTCACGTCACTGACCTCATTATACGGGACATGCACGAGAGAAAGGGACATTCTGGAAGGGAACATGTCCTGGCTGAGTTGCGCCGAAGGTTCTGGATTGTGTCTGGAAGCTCTGCAGTACGCAGAGTTCTGTCAAGATGCGTTAGATGTCGAAAGATTCAGGGATCGGTGGTGACACAGCAGATGTCGAACCTACCGGAAGACAGAACGGCGCCAGAAGGTGGAGTTTTCAGTCGAGTTGGGACCGATTATTTTGGTCCGTTCTATGTCAAGGTGGGACGAAAGCAGATGAAGAGATATTGTGTGCTTTTCACGTGTCTCGCAACTCGGGCTATTCACATCGAGGTTTGCGAAACCCTAGATACAAGCTCTTTCATTAATGCTCTTCGCAGATTCCAGGCTCGGAGAGGTCAAGTGAAGTTTATCAGGTCTGACAATGGGACGAATTTCACAGGCACTGAGAGAGAGCTGAGAGAAGAAGTCCGCAAGCTGCAAGAGAAAAGTGTTCATGACTGCTTACTGAAGGAGGGGATCACGTGGAAGTTCACCCCTCCAGGTGCCTCATCGCAAGGAGGTATATGGGAGAGACAAGTTCGGAGCATCAGGAAAGTCCTGAATGCGCTCCTCAGGGAGCAGACGATGACTGACGAGTCGCTCCGCACGCTTCTATGCGAAGTGGAGGCTGTGCTCAACAGTAGACCTCTAACGACGGTATCAAGTGACCCAGCTGATCTGCAGCCTCTCACCCCCAACGACCTCCTACTACTGCGTGGTGGTCCGGTGCCAGACGGCATCTTCAGCGAGGGGGACAGCTGCTTTGGTCGAAGGTGGAAGCAGGTGCAATATCTCGCCGACCTGTTTTGGAAGCGTTGGGTAAAGGAATACCTGCCACTTCTTCAGCAGCGCCAGAAGTGGGTCAGAACACGGAAGAACCTCTCTGTTGGTGACGTTGTTTTGGTCGTTGACGTTAACAGCCCGCGATGTCGATGGCCTCTTGGACGCGTATTGGAGGTGTTTCCGGACAGCGAGGGTCTTGTGCGTTCCGCTATGGTGAAAACGGCAAGCAGCGTCTTGAAGAGGCCGATCTCGAAGTTAGTGTTTCTCATCTAGAATAAGTAATGTGACGCACATGGTGCGCACATGGGGGCGGGTGTAGGCGGCGCCGCTGCGGCGCGCGGTGGAACGGGGGTGCGGGCTCCCAGTCGTGCGCCGCTCCGCTCAAGCCGGCTCGCTCTTCTCTCTGCCCCGGTTGCCTCCCCGCTCTGCCTGCCTGGAGAGCCGGGACGGCCGGGACTACCTCCCCTCGGTTTGCGAGTAGCATCGCCCATGGTCCTAGAGGTGGACATTTTCGTATGGCTTTTACTCTGTTTGTACTTGATTTTGCTGTACTTTGCGTTTTTCCGTTGTATCATTTGTACTACGTTGATTGTCGTAAACGACCAATTTGAAATGTATCGCGTGATTATTTGCTAGTTTGAATATTCGATGGCTCATTGTTCGTTGGCGTATTGTTAGAAGGCAATTTCTGCAATACTTCTCAGTACTCGTTTGTTGTGTGACGTGCCACCCGGCTCTATGCCCGGCCATGATTCCGGATCATTCGCGCTGATGGCGGCAGAGGCGGTCGTGTCGTGTCTGTGTTTGCGCGAGCGATGGTAAGTGGCTGAGCAGTTGTATTTCACTATGATGCGTTTAAATGTGTGATCTGTTAGCTCGTATAGATATTCTGTTGTCAATTTCATATAAGACGTTTCGGCGCCAATATGATTAAAACCGAGACTTTGATACTTTGCACTGAGGTAAACGACAATGGACCTGACTGGTGTCTGGATTCGTAGATATGGCGTCGGAGATGTGAGGCTGGCTTGGAAGGATGCCTCTGGATGTATGGACGTTAGCCGCGAAGCGACCCAGAAGGCACATTTGTCGGTAGGTCACGAAATGTCACGAGTGTTGGGAAAGGTCACGAAATGTCACGAATGTTAGGAAAGGTCACGAAATGTCACGAATGTTCAGAAAGGTCACGAAATGTCACGATTCATTTGATGTCAGTACGCAGGGATGCTGTGTTATCTGTGGTAGGGCCCCTCACGGCCTGTTATGGTGTATCATTTATTGGTACGTTTAAGCCCTCTTTGTTTGCCCACCCCTTTCGTTTATTTATTGTACGTTTGGTAACGCTTATTTATACGTCTTTTGATTTGTGTATTGTGTTTCGTTCCCAGCAACGACTGTTACTCTCGAGATCGTGTGGGCTATCTACTCAGCTCACTCGGTCCAATAAACGGTCCGTTAAGACATACTGGATTTCAACACGCTGGGTCTGGAGATGCGGCTACACAAGGCTTATGAAAATCGTGAGGAGGGTTGGTAAAAGCAGGAAAAAGGGTCACGTGACTGGTGTCCCAACCTTATCTGTAAGAATCTTGTCCCAGACCAAGATGATATCACAGGTGGATCAGAAAGGCGGTTTCGAGACTGCTGAGTGCTGGTACATACCGTATGTACCGTATGTAATCGGACACCCCAAAAAAGTCCCAAGATCCGGAAACTCCTCAGATTTGTATTTCCAGGGGGGGGGGACGAAACGCCCTCCCCCTGTTTTTTTCGTCGATATCTCCTAAACGGCTGGAGATATCGCCACTAAACTTTCAGGACCCCTCCGATCAATTTCACAAATTGTGACCATAAATTTTTCCAGAGGCTATGATAGGTTGGCCACAAATGACTTCAGAATGACGTCATGTTCCGCCATTTCCGACCGAAAAAAGACCTTCGCGAGAAGAGCTGTCAGGCCTACAGCTTTGAAGATACAGAAAAATGATCAAGACAAAAGGTGTAGAATTGACGGCTACAATACTGCTATCTCGGATTTTTGAAGTTTTTGAGATTAGACCCCCAAAAACAAAAAGACATTTTTTGATAGATTAGCAAAAAAGAATTAAAAAAAACAAAATATATGTGATAGTACCTACCAGGGGGCGTCGAAGTCTAGTAGGAAAATCTGTCAATCCCCGGCGTGACGTAGCGTCGGGGATGACCGACGGCACCTTGCACTGAAAGATACGGCAGAACGGCTATTTCTGAAAAATGATTAAAAATACTTGTGTGCTGGTATGACACATAAAACGCTTATCAGCATGCTCCTCATCATCTGATGAAGCCATATCCGTGATCGACGAAAATAGCCGAGCCCGCTCCCAATTTCCAACCCTCGACCTTATAAGCAAAAGATGTAAGCGTAATCCTTAAGGGCGACTTTCCGTTACATATCCGTATGTATATGTTACGGGCCAAGTGCGAAGGCTAGTCCGTTTGCGAACGGACTAGTCCATTCGCGAATGGACTAGGCCGTTTGCGAATGGCGGTCCGTTTGCAAACGGACTAGTCCGTTTGCGAATGGCCGGCCGTTTGCGAACGGACGGGTTTGTGGCGTTGCACTTAGCCGCCGGAAGCATGGATCCTCGGATTGGGGTACGATTCCGAATGAATGGGGGACCGCTGGTCGATGCAGGGGCGTCGCCGACGGGGGGGGTCGGAGGGGTCCGGACCCCCCCCCCCCCCACACACACACATTCTTGAAAATATGCCGGTCCGACGCCCCCCCCCCCCTCCCCTCCCCCCCCACACACACACACACTCTTGGCCACGAAAATAGATCAATAAAGTAAAATATTTTAAAAACGATTTTGGTGCATTCTCAAAATAAAATTGTCTAAATCCGAGGAGTTTTCAGTATTTGGTGGGGATTACTTTGACTGACCGTCCGACCAGATCCCCTAGTCGAAATTCCGTGGCGACGCCACTGCGTCTATATGTTTAGTTTGTTCTCCGGAGCAGATCTGCGAGCTGGCGCAACTCTGGGTTAAGGTCTCCACACACCTGGTCCATTCGGGATGCGACTTTCCGCTGAACCCTGCACAACGCGGAAATTATAGCAACGTGTTGCCGCTGGCCAGGCTTCGGCCACCGATCTGGATCTGGGGGAGGTCAAATCGACCCCCACCGGACACGATTTGGTAGCCGAGGTCTGTGACGTCAGCTGGGCGTGAAGTTTTCCCTTCACCATAGGCTTTACACACAAATTGACCAAAGTTCATGCCATGATATCTCAGTCTGGAAGTGCAACAAGGATTAAATGTTGGCGTCATTAGATTCAGTGTTTCATTTTATATCTGAAAACGTCCATTATTAGGCCTCAAAGAAGGTACAAGTACTCGAAATCGAAGTTCAAGAAGATGCTGTCGTGTACATAATCTGGTAGCATCACGTGACCTCTTTACAGCAGTTTATAAAAAAATTCAAAATCTAGTTACACGATTGCTGCTTCAAACAACATAAATAATACATCTTCAACATTTATTACTTCCGTTTAGGTCACAACACTGCAAAAAGCAAAGTTTACCACCGTAGTCACGTGACTAATGGTGTAGCGGGGGTTGGGACAAACGCTTGAAGGGTTTTATTTTTCAAAATAAATTATATAGTTTTCGTGATGAAATTGAAAGATTGTAATTTTTCATTACATAATACGAATTTTGGTATGTGGGATATTTTATTTGTAGGCAGAATTCTCCACATAAAAAATGATAATGACGTCACGGGGGCTTTACTAAAAACATCCGACCTACCTGTTTCTTATAGGTATCTTGGGTCAAATATCCCCGTGACCTTCGAACAGCGGAGAGTCGCGTGGTGTGCGGAGACCATTAGTACCGTGCTCCGGGCTCCCCGCTGATGACCCGACCTGACCTTGGTCGAGTTTGTGGCGCTCGATTCATTCTGTTCTGGTGTGGTGTACCGGGACGGTGCGGCTTGTGTGTGGTGAGTGCGGTGCGGTGAGTGTTCGAAAAACTGTTGTGTTGCATTGCATTTAACAATACGCGCACTGCAGGGGGGTTGCTTTCAACCCCCCTGTGGTTTTTCACAGATCACGAGAAAACGGTGGCGCGCAGCAAAGCCAAATTTTGTATACCCTTTCTCCCATATTCTGCGCACATTATGTGAAAATGCTGACTCCAGATGACCTCTTGCTGGATATTTCGCACTTGGCCTGACTTCGCACTTGGACTGGGAGCATAAACGCCCGTCCATTCGCAAACGGCCTAGGCCAACTGCAATAACGCACATGGACTAGTCCATTCGCAAACGGCCTAGTCCAAGTGCGTTATCGCACTTTGGACTACAGGGTGTCCCAGAATTACCCGGACATTGTTAATTAGCGTATAAAATAAGGCAAACATGATTGCGCTTTTTTCTTTTTATCGTCCTATATAGTCACCTAGGGTGGCTGTGACATAGCACATCAGTAGGCGGAACTATGGTCAAGCGTACCCATTTTCGGGAACGCATTTTCGTTCCCATGTTTGGGAACGATAAACCCAAATATGGGAACGCCATGTAGGCATTATTTAAAACAAGAAAAAGAACCGTTAAATGACGTCCAAAAAATATAAAACGATCGTGAACCGCCTGATATTCGCCTCAATATTGTTGGGAAAGAGTTTGATATTGTAAGGCCCATCGTAGTTTCAAATCATTCCCCTATTTCTAAAGTAGTCCATCATCCGGGCCGCGAGCCCAAATTTGGGAACGCTCTCGTACACTGGCGCTGCAAGCGTTCCTTATTATGGGAACGGCGTACCCAAAATTGGGAACGATTTCACCGACGCCTTTCAGGGGCTCTTTTCATTAACCCACGAGCCGCTGGGGGGGGGCATAAAGTTGCCCCCCCTTTACGTTTTGTGAAATATCTCCGAAACCTGATGAGCTACGAACGTGAAACTTGGCATAGCTTCAAATGAATACCTAGGCAATGTTTGAGGAAAGTTTGGTGGTTGTAGCACCTAAGATGACGTCACAGTGACGTCATAAAGTTTTGTCGTTTTTCGATATGGACCGTTTCTGATGACGCTGAGCATGAAACTCAACTGTAAATGAACTAGACAGCACCTGCTGTCATCCTAAAACATCTAACTACACTTCCATCTAATTCCTGACCAATAATCGGCCCTTTATATTCGGTCCCATATATCTGATGTATCGTGAGGAATATGAGAGCCGCAAATCTATAATTTCACTTATGACGTCACTGTGACGTCATTTCAAATGGGATCGACACCAAATTTAGACACAACCTCGGCTAGGTATTCAGGAAGATGTGTGCAAAGTTTCGCTTCTCTATCTCTTCGCGTTGCGACGATATCGTCGCAGAAGTAAAGGGGGGGCAACTATATGCCCCCCCCCCCAGCGGCCGGCGGGTGGCGCGGAGGCCCAGCGGCCGCCGGGTTAACAAGCATCACGTCCAACGCCGTAAATTATTGTTAACGCAACAATCATCAGATGACCTTTCCGGCAAGACCGTCGCATGTTTCGCCGGGTCTTCTGCGTTCTTATTCCCGTCGATCCCGCAGGGGGCACGCCCCCCTCTGCAGGATTACGTAACTCGCAACGCTCGGCGATGCTCAACAAGGTCTTCCATACCTATATCCACCGTCCGCATGTTTTTTAATCCCACCCAGAAATGACAAACAAGCTCCCTGATTGGCCAGTTGCCGGCCAGTTGGACTTGAGCGGTCGCCATGGTGCTATTGGGGACCCGGCAGGCATCGTTAGGTGTTGAATTATGTGTTTCGTTGTGCTAGATATTGCCAATTTGCTTTGATATTTGATAAATAACGTTGGCTCATTCTTTGGTGACCTTGCATACTAATACGACGATATTTTGATACCGATTATTATGCATCAAACATCATGAGACAAATGTGGCGATTTCCACATCCTTTTGCAGTGCCCCCTCCCCTTGTGTAGTGAGTTAACAGGCTTGTAAGAACCAAGTGAACCATTTTTTAGTCAAGTGGTCATGATCGTCCCTACATATAATGGATAATAGTCTTGCGCAAACTTATAAAGTACTGGAGGAAGCAGAAGTTACGATTTTGGAGTACGCAAACTTGATATTAAAAAATCTCAGGTATTTTGGCTATATAAAGTGAGAAGAAAAGTTCAGTTGATCATTTTTTATTACAATTGCAATAATGATAATATCATGATAATTGTACGTCAGGTATTGATAATAGTCATGTCACGTCATGCCACTAACCAGGCACACAGACACAACACATTTTCATCTTTATGTATCTAGGCATAAGGTATTACAGGCATGTTTTTGCACACCTCTCATGTGCGAGTGGGCATGGCCTCCTTCACAGATAAGTTTTGGCTGATTGTGCTCAAATTTTGTAAGTACCTACATGTAAAGGGATGTAGATACAGTTAGTTGGGCACTCTTCTTAATTCAGTTTTGTGCACCACTTCCTGCTTTCACCATGC